GTTTTTTTCATGCAGGAGAATTATGTGCAGCCCCTGGTGGCCGTGAAGCTGCTGCTCACCAAGGAGGACTACAACAAGGAGCTGGCGGTAGAGTGCAGGGTAGAGGGCTCTGACCTCCGCAACAACGACGAGAGAGACAAGTTCCTGGGCCGCATCACCTTCAGGATCAAGGTTGTCGAGTAAACGAGAACATAGACGGCATAAAGGGAGAAGCCCAATGCAGAGGCTGCCAGCGTTTGCTAAGGATTTGTGTTTAAAAATTCTAATAAAAGGGAAGGAAGTGTCAAATACGTCACAAAGGTGGCATTTTTGGAGGGGTGTGGCCAAACAGTTTGATAGAGATGAGTTGAGAGCCAGTTAGATACAGATGCTGAATGTTGCTTTGATGACATTTCTGACCTTTCTTTCCTTCGTGATTCCTTGCTGACCTCCGCAAACATCCACAGACCATCAAACAGGCTCTCCTCCTCCATCTATCTATCTATCCGTTCATTCCCCCCTTTGCACTCCTCATTCCTCAGTCTTTGGTTTCAGCATAGGTGTGATTAGATAACTTATAGCCATCGCAACCAAGCCATTTGGAGCTGTTGTGTAATTGCAGATATGTCTTTTTTTTTTTAAATGTTTTTTTAGATCTTCCTGCTGTCAGGAAGTGAGCGTTGATTTTCATCTCTCTAAAGAACGACTGTATTATCGCCATTGTTGAGAGGATTTTTATCTTGCTGTATAGAACAAGTGAGAAGGTAGAACATTTCCGGCACACATCTTCAGAGTATTCACATTATCACATCACAAAGATTTCATAGGAACGTACCTTGATAATCAACTATAGCCACTCTATCCTTGTATATGAAATGCCAACTACAAAGTCCCTTTCTACATATAAATACATTGTGATCCTTACCATATTTAGGGAATTATAGATAGATCTTTGTGTTGTGGCCTGCGTAGCCATAACAACAGTCTTGTGCCGTCTGTCCGTCTGTCTGCATGTCCGTCCGTCTTCCTGTTTTTACTCACCTCCACTGCAATAGCCAACATACGGGTGAGCCGTCCAGGACTAGAAAAGTTGTCTCGCTCCACCTTGCAGGGTGCTGCGAATCTATGGTGGCCGAGGAGACACACACACACACACACACACACACACACACACACACACACACACACACACACACACACACACACACACACACACACACACACACACAAACAGAAGATACAGTGTATAAATTACTCTTAAATGGAGAGGCGCTGAGGAAGCGTTGTTAGAAGAAAAAGTTCACTGTAACTATGTACTGTATATCTTTAACGTGATCTGTATATCTATCTGGGTCTCAAAGATTGTTTGTTAGTTTTCTCTCTCTTCTTCAGCCTGTTGATCTGATTGTCTGCCAACCTATTACTCTTTAATGTATATATATATACACTATCTACCATATTAACTTTATTCACACTGTATTTTTGTCACAAAACACAATGTCTGTGCACTGTAAAGAAATAATTTAAGCAAAGATTTACAGGAAATTATCTTATTCAAAGCTATGTTTACACAGTCTTAAAAGGAACCCACATTTGAAAGAACAACTTGTAACATCTCTTCAGGGTGCCTTAAGACCTGATGAAATAAATTGTGAAATAAAAGTGATTTTGAAGAAAAAAAAAGATTTTCCAGTGTCTGTTTAATAATTATTATTTAATTAAGCCTATTGTGGATAGATGTTCTCAGTCGATCTACTTTATATCTACTATGTTATTAACCATTTACTAAAAATGCCCAAAGAAAGATGTTAAAGTCGTGCACTTGAAATTGAAGCCCAGTTTCAATACAGTAGCAAAATAATCCTTTAGTGTCAAAAGTAAGAGCACTGTTTCTGCAGAATGTTTTATTGTGTGTCTGACATGCCATCGCACATTATAATACATTTTTATGGATGGGTGGAGTTATTTTGGTTTAATCTGAGGGGCAAGAGATATATTGAGGTGAGAATGAAAACACCAACAAGTTTTACTAAACAGATATTTAGACACTTTTTTTTGTTTCCTCTAATCTAGCCAATAGTGCAAAATGTTGCATTCCTTAAGATCGTTTTTTAAGTTTCGAGCACTTAAAATGAATCTGTCTGTCAAGTGGAAATCACTCCAGCAGATCTCTTGAGATGTAACAAAGGGACTCTACAACACTGTTTTTTGTGAGGGGTCGTGAGCTAAAGAGAGCAGCTGAGGAAATGATTCTTTTAATCTTGAAAATGCTCTGTATGTTTGAATTTGTGTGTTCATCGTTCTTTAGAGTATATCATAATCAGAGTAGAAAAATATGTGTTGATTTCCATAATATATTTTAGTAATAATGTAAAGAATTGTGTAATTGCTATAGTATATCTTTACCATTTAACTATAATAACTATATTTAATCAAGTGCAGTAAAGGTTCTTTAAAGTTCAGCATTCAAAAGGAAGAACCGTATTTGAGTAATTGTGAAAGTTTAAAAACAACTGTCCTGTAATGAGCTACGGTTAAAACACCAGAAAGACCGGGAAAGAAGTTCATTTGGTTAATTTATCACAACAATTATTTTGGAATTAACACATTTGTGTTGATTGAAGTTATGAATTACATTAGACGTTGGAATCATGAGTACGTGTTCTGACAGTAGAGAGAGAGTCTTTGCCGTCGTGAGTGGGATTGTGTCATGGTTAAACTTTTCATCTCAATCTCATCACTGCCATCACTGTAGCACAAATCTGCAGCCACGTGAGGGAGCCAGAAACTAGACAGAGTGAGCTGTTTTTAACAGTGTGGTTCAGACACAATGCTGCCACAGGGCCTGAGGAGGTCAGTGTGGCATCTACCATCCCACATGTCTTCATTTTGAGGTTTTTCTAACCAGACAAATCGATGTCAACAAATCCACATGATTAAACGTGCCAACATTTTTACATAACATCAGTCGATAGCTGCTGGGAAACGAGCTTAAAGTGTCGTTGCTGTAGATCCTTATTCTACTTAATCATTTAAAGCCAACCTTTCTAAAGTCTAAAGCGAAGCTCTTGGCTTCAATGGCTGAGGTAAAAGATCATTTGGATTTGTGTCAAGTGTCGTGTGGTGCATCAGGCATCTCTGCAAGTCTGCTTATAGCTATTTTAATTATTATTATTATTTCATTATTTTGATGGTAACACTTTACAACAACACATTTTGCATAGTTACTGGGGTACAAATGAAGAACTAACTACTAACTGACAAAGTTAATGGGATAGACAGTGATCAACATCAAATAGTATAGAGAAGCTAATGATTACTCAATAGAGAATGAAATCATCATAATGAGTAGTTACTTACTTACCTCTTCTGTGTCCCCTATAGTAACGCGTTTCATCACACTGCGTCATTACTACAAACTAAACTTATAACCTACGCATTACATTACAAAGTCTCCCTTCCCTCCCCCTTTTCATTAGTTACCATTTTACCTTTGATGAAACTGTATTTACCCATGATGCATCATAACTTCATGCTTCCATCAATCCAGAGTGCATGTAACATTTGTGATGATTCTATAACAAGAAAATTAACTAAAGGACTTTATTGTACATTTGAACACTTCTACTAACAACATGTAAAAAGTGTTTTTCTAATAAATAAAAAAATATATTTCAAAATATAAATTCATTAAGGCACCTGTGAGTAATGAGATTTTTGTCCTATTTTACTCAGGTACAATAAAGAAGTAACTCGTGATTAGGTAATGATTCAGTAACTACTCGTTCTGATGCCCCACTTTGTTCGATACTAAGTTATTATTAGCTACTCTTTATAAGACAAGTTACTCACTATCTAACCATTAACTCATTATAATGGTAGTTAGTTCCTCATTTAGTCCCTAGTAACAATGTCAAATCTGTGTACCTTTTTGTGTGCATGAATTCACCTGTAACGCTGCACAGAAGTCAGAAAAAAATCAGGTTAGTGTTAAAAGTTGTTGGATCATACCTGTCGCCTCTAATGTCACCTCATCTCTATCTACCAGCTCCCACAATGCCCTGAGGCAAGAGCAGCAGCTCTGTCTTTGATTGTCAGCAAGTCGCCTGTCCCCAAGTCCCACTGTAGGTCACATAAGCTCTCAGGGTTTAGCTGGATCCACCTTAGCGCCTTCGAAACTCTTACTGTCCTTGGGTTGCAGCACTGTAAACAAGTGCTGTTGGGAGACGCACACAAAAAAAGAACAGATATTTTCCTCTGCCAATTAGTTGGGGTTTGGAAAGGGTGTGGATTTCAGAAATCATTCAAACTGAATTGAAGGAAACAGTGTTTTCTGGGATATCAACTTAAATTCCAGGATCATTTTATACAGAAAAGGCAACAGCCGAATTTCCCTTCTCTTCATTTAAAGGTAATGGCCTGATTTGCATTTGATTTTATTGGTCTATACTTTCATTTCATTCATACAGCATGGTTTCCAAAAGACAAATATAAATGTCAAAATGTGTATAAATGTGTTTTTGAGCTGAGCAATGCTGCCGCTTCCTGTGTTAACCTGTCTATTCACTGTAACATTGAGATGCTTCAAAACCTGGAGGGGGATTTGAAGCTGATTTAAGCAAAGAAGGCGCAAGGATAATACTTGTTATCGCCTTATCAGCTAAGAGTTGAACTTGCCAATTTGCGGCAGCCTGGAGCACAGCCTGGCTGTAGTCAGCATCCTGGAAGGGATTAATGCAGCTGATATTTTTAGGTTTTACTCCAAAGTCCTCAGCAGTACTTTCTCTGTGGTTAAATATAGTGAAACAACATCTGTAACATTGCACAATCCTCTGACACTCATGGTAGACGAGCTCTTCAAGCCTCCAGACCTCGACGAAGGTATGGAGACAAAGACATTAATTTCAATGAACATAAAAAAGGACACCGTTTTCAAAAGACATGTTTTGATTTATTCCAATGATTCAGCAGTCAAGGAAATTTCTGCTTTACATTTTTTCAGTTCTATAGTAGTGTTTCCTTTCATGTAATATTTACAAGTACATATGTGTCATTTATATTTATATCGTATTCACATTAACTGTAAACACTCAACTCTGCCCAACATCTGGAAATTCAAAAACTTAAGCAAATAATTACCCTGAGATAAGTTAAACAAAAATTACGAGGACTTTCTTTGAACTAACCAATGTCTCTAAACTCAACAACCAAAGCAGTGGTGTTTTCTTTTTTATTGGGGATCCGGCTAGTTTGAGTTACTCATATTCATCTCAAACTAAGAAAAGAGCCCTGATGTTTTACAATGTTTCAGGGTTGTGAACAGGGCAACCTACGTGTTCCTGGTACAGGAATTTATTGCCCAACTCCTCTAAAATGTTTCTCCTTCATATGCAGTAAGTAACTGCTATTTCTGCTCTCATGTCTCTCCCAGCATCCCAGGGCTACACAGTTCTCACTAAGTTGAGCCTCATAGCACCAACAGTAGAGGGACTTAGTGAAGAGCTGTTCGGTATTCTTCATCTTATTTTTAAATAGATCAATAGATACTACATTTTAAATAACTTACATATTTACCTTCCTCTCTGTGCATAGATAGATTTCTTTATATACAATACATACAATAGCAACAATTGCTTTTTCTAGCTTTTGTCAAACTAAATCGCCAGGCGGAGAGAAAAGAGCCTGGATGCACTTGCAGTGATCGGGGGTTTAGGACCACAGCATAAAATATTTAATACTTGAATTTTCTCTGAGCCTAAATAGCTCTTTGTATTGCAGAAACAATGAAACCTTTGATGGCATCAATACAAGAAACCAGATGGTGGGTTAGTGCTTTTTTGAGACAGTTCAGATTTAGATTTTTTTCATCAAAAGGTCATTAGTATTTCTGGCACAAAGGCCTTTATCTTCCTAATCTAACACTCATCCAAAGATTGTTATATTTCCCCCTAGCAGTAGTTTTTGGTCAACATGTTTGCAAGTCTAAATAATTAGATACATGTATTTACAAGAGACGTTGTAATACAAAGAGATGATGTTTAAAATACATCATCATGTCCTCAATATTTTACTGAACCTTGCCTTGAAAGCAGCAGATCTCTAAACCATGAGCATCTTTAAAAGAGAGGGATAGTACATCTATCCCAACATAGATGCTTGTGCTCACCTCTCTCCGTTCGTCTTTTACATCAGTGTTAATGTGCATCTGACCAAGAAAAGCAACAATTTATTGAGTGTTATAAATGGTAGATACAAACATGTGGCCTCTCACAGCAATATACACGTGCCAGACTTCTTTTCGTCATCAGGATCTCCTCCGCCCTCTTTCCTGTTGGGATCGTTGAGCTCATCAAACAGTCCAGTGTCAACCATCTCCTGCTGCCACTGAATGGCCACAGCACCTGTGCTAAACTCCTTGAAGAATTTGTCGTCCTTTGCGTCGAACTCGATACCTTTGATCTCAGAGAACTCAGCGATGTCGCCAGTGTCTTTGGCGTAGACGACGTTGGGCTTGGGCACCCAGGGAGGATCGACCAGGCCGGCCTCCAGACGGGGGAAGTTGATGGATTTGAACCACTCGTGCTTCCTGGGATCTTCCATGTTGTTCCTAAAGATAAGGCAAGTGTCAGTATTTCAAAACTACAGTGTCAGAAATAAAGACTAAGTGGCAGCACAGGTGGAAATTATGATTTAATGAATGACATTTTTTTTTAGCCATGTGTTGCCCTAACTAAACTGGTTCCATTTTCAATTACAACAATCTAGGATTATGATATTTTTTAAAATGTGAAATGCTTTCAGAAGTAATATTATAAAATACCTCTTTGCAAATTCCAATAAACTAAAATGTACATAATATCTTGCCAAATCCATGCTAATGCATGCAGCCACTTAAAATAAGTGGCTTTCTTACAGTTTAAAAGTGTAGAAGAAGCTCTTACTTCATGCCAAGGCGCTCTTCAATTTTCTTCTTGAGGAACTGCTGGATGATGTCTTTGGTGGGAGCATCAAAGCACTTGTGCTCCCACTTGGGTTCCTCGTTTTGAATACGGCGCTGTACCTCCTCCTTCTCCACCTTCTCTTTCTTGCTGTCAGGGCCTTTGAAAGGTGTGTAGCCAGCAACCATCTCATAAATACTGCAACCAAGGGCCCACCAGTCCACTGATGTCCTGTAGGGAGTTTTGCTAAGAAGCTCCGGGGCCATGTACGCTCCAGTACCGGCCTGGAGGAGAGAGATACATGGACAAAAAAAGAGTGAATATGAGGTTTGTATACAAGGCATTTATGAAATGATTGTGTGCTTCATATGAGTAGAAACTTTTTGATATTTTTTCCATTTGTAGCAAGTTCTCCAGATAAAAAAAATAGACTGCCAGTCATAAGGAAATATAAAGGCTAATGCCATAGAACAGTGAAATGCTTGATGTGAACATTAAATTCCTTAAAAACGCAAACTTGAAGGTCAGTAGCCCGGGTTACTACAGATTTACTCCAGCCTTCATCATGTTCTCTTTCTGTCCCTGTCTGTGTTACTTTCACCTTTCCCTCTCTTGCTCACTCTCTCCCCTCTGCTCTGCTCCCAACCCTCTTTGACCAGCAGCTTAATCCTAATGCTAAGCTTACTACCTGTCAAGAGTCATGTATGTCTACACACTGACAGAGTTGTCCAGGCTCTTACATAAAGGCTGACCATTTCTGGAAGCTAGTGTCACCATCAGAGCTACGTAACATCCGGACTACACGTAGCCATGCATCTCATTTATTATGAATGCACACACTCTGCACACTAGCATTGAGCCGATGTCCTGGAGAAACATGTTTTCGCATATTTTAGCATAAGTTGAAGTGTTGCCACAAGTAAGTGTAGGAGGCTGCATCATTTTTTAAACTATTTCTATAACTTTTGTAACTTTTAAACTCAGACAAAAATACATAAAATCAATTATTTGTTCTTTTCCATGTCAGAATGTGATCTTTAAACACGTTTGGTACCTTAAGATCAACCCTTTACCTTCTTTGACAAGACTATGACCCTGGCTCCACCCTTCAAGCTGATTATTGGGAAAATGTTACAACAGCTCACTTAATCAAATGTATGCAGGATGTGCTGCAAAACATGTCCTATTACTTGCTCCTTTGTCGCCTAACATGCAAGTCTATCAAATTTCTGCAGTCATTTTTACTTCCCCAGGTGGCATTTTATAACTATATTTTGAACAGATGCAATGTGTGTATCTGTTAGTAAGCTGTTTAACCGTGCACGTAAAGAACCTGCACACCCTGGTCAGTCGAAGAGGCCAAACTGTTATGTAGAATCACACAGGTTACAAAATTATCACCTAAATTAATCTGATCTTGGTTCAAACAAGGAACAGATCTCATTTGTCAACCCAGTTTAAGTCACCTTGTTTGCAAGCTAACATGTCTGAATATATTCATCATAGGTTTTTACCTGGATCTGTCAATCTAATCAGGGACAGACTTGTGTAATGCCACTAAGAGGATTAGGGGACCAAAGCCAGCCTTGCCTGTAGGAGGTTAGCCCAGTCATTTTGGCTGGCTGAGGAGCATCAGAGTACTGGATAATGAGCTTACAGGACTTTCATGGAACTGAGAGCTTACTCTTTGCTACTGCAAGTAAGTCTCTAAGAAACTGAAAAGGAAACCATTCTTAGTGGTTAAAATATCCTATGAGCAGTATAAAAAAAAGAAAAAAAAGACCCTTTTGAATTGATTCTATTTGTCCTGAGTCTTTACTTTATCTGTAATTTACAAGGTTATGGTCACATATATGCATGAAGCATCTTTGTGGGCTCCTGGCACATTTTAAAGCTCAGTGATTGATCTGCCCAGCAATCATGTCCATAACTCCCACTGTGCAGCCACTTAGTGTAAAAAAAGAAATACAAAAAAGACTGAACTTACAAATAACATTGCTTCTCAAGTTAAAAGAAGAAGAAGACATCAGGTAAAAGGCTTTGTAATGTGTTGTGGGAAGTAACTTCAGCACAGATAAGAAAAACTAAGAAAAAGTAATTTATGTAGAGTGAAAAACTCTACAGCAAGATCTGTGGACTTCAGACGTAGCCCCTTACAAAATGTTGGCCTATAAATGGCCATGCTATAATCTGTCACTAAAGGATCAATTTAGTTATATAATGGATTCAGAGTCACTCATTGCAGAGATCTTTAAGTAGTAATCCCTGTCCGGATTTAAAGTAAAAACCCCACCAAGATTGACAGCCTGTTCAGAAGCCTGAGCTCAGATTCTCCTGTTTAGATCAGTGAACTCTGAGAGGGTGAAGATGTAGACCAGGTATCACTCAGCGAGTTGCTCTGTTTTCTAATCTTTTCTGTGTCACACTTTGTGTCTAAGTATGTGAATGAGCACATGGCCATCATCTTGATGTTTCAAAGTTCATCTTGTTTCAGTTGGGGATTATTACCTGACCTCTGCTCTGCTCCACATACACTTTCAATAATAGATGTGTGTGACCCTCAAGGGTGGGCATCTGTCATCATGATGTAAAATCATGCTATGATTCAATATTTTTCATTTTTGACATCTCACCACTTTGTCCCCTAATGTATAAATAAATAGCATCCTTAATGCTAGGAGAGTGCACATCCTATTGTAGTTCAAAAGTCAAGAGGCATTTGCAATTTCAGCCAGGATAACACTCACCATCTGGGTGACGGTCTTCTCAGGAACAATCTCTATGGCCAAACCCAAATCTGAAAGTCGGCACTGGCCTAGACTATCCAGCAACACGTTCTCTGGCTTCATATCACGATATATGATATCCATGTCATGCAGATGCAGAATGCCAGTCGTGATCTGCGCTGTGTAGTGGATGACACGTTTCATCTCAATGCCCTTGTCCACACCTTTTCCATCATAGCCTATGTTGTAAATGTGATATTTGAGATCTCCTCCATTCATCAGGGTCATGACAAGGCACAGGTGGGTCTTGGTGTCATAAGCGTATCCCAAGTTGACCAGAAACAGGCTATTAACTTTTTCCAAGATCTTCTTCTCCAATAGGGCCATCTTCTCACCACCCTTCTTCTTCAGTCGTTTTTTACACAACTTCTTACAGGCATACATCTGGCCTGTGTTCTTAACTTGAACAGCACATACCTGTGGAAATAAATTTTTGTTAAAAAGAAACTTGTTTCTAGTACCAATGTTAAAAAACGTTATTTGATTATTCTAAACCCATTTCCCGAAGTCTCAATACATATAATACTGGATTAAAACTAACATGCAGGTCTCTAGGCAGCAGAGGAACAATTAAACACAATTGTTTGAATGACTGAAAAATGTAGCTCCACTTTTGTTTAAAAGTGTAGCTTAAATCCAAGTATGCTCCAGGAAAATTGTATATTGAAAAGTCACTAGCACAGTATTATTATTTTACAAATGGTCAAATAGATTTAATCTTCAAAGTAAGCCATCCACCATGTTTGCCATATTTAAGTATTTAAAAAACTATTTTACACAGCAGAGAATTTGTCCAACTCAATAATTGCTCTTATATCTGATAGTGGTATAGAATCACTGAATCACAGGGTCAGGTTTGTCCACAGCATTAAACTGAGAAAGTTACAATAGCAGTGAAGGTTGGTCCAGTATCAAAGTTCTTTGATCAAATCAAATGATTTGTTTATTTGTTTCACGCCTAACCACTTTAGAAGAAAACTGTATTCTAGCATTCATAAAACAGATTTGGAATTTGTTATATTTAACATGATGTAAATTAAAACATTACTGTAAGTACTTTTTTATGCCTTAACCACTTTCTATATTCCTTTTGGTTTATACATATCATTCAGTTTCCTGAAATGTGGTTGTAGCATGCTGCTATGAGCTAAAACGCTGATATGAGGTTCCTCAAGGGCCATTTGTGGGTCCTCGTTACTTTTTATGCTCTCAGCTAAACCGATGACATGATAATTAATTTTATTATGACAGCTCTCATCATCAATCTTAAAACGTTAAACAATATATATTGCTCTTTTCTTGTTCTGCAATTTCTACAATCGTTGTTTGCAAAACACTGTCTCACAGGCACCTTCTCTAACCATCTACTGTAAAATAAATGTATATTCTTTGTTATTTTTGGACATGCTCTACTGTCATATTCAGGTGTGTACTGGAACACAGATCTTGATAAGGCAATGCAAATATTAGTTGATAAGTATTTTTTTTAAATCACATAACCCTGCCAAAGATACCAAACAACGATTACTTTCTTAAAGATCGTTGCAGATGTTACATTGCAACATAAGACATGATTTCCTCAACTTTACATGGTACACCTATATGCCACATAACTTCATGGTCACCTTGAGACATGTTAAATCCTCATGATTATGTAAGGATTGATCTCTTATCCTAGACAATCCTTTCTTATGCGTAGAAGCCAATACATCCCTGTAGATTTCAAAAATAGAATAAAACTGACAATGCACTGTAATTATTTCCTGTAGCACCATCACAATAATCACAAAAGCTGTGGAATGCATATCTTCTGTTAATAATTTAATATACTGCAAAAAATTATGTAGATAACTCATATTTTGGAAACTGGAAACACTTTCATACATTAGATGGCCCTTAACAGTTCTTCTGTTTGAATAATACTAAGAGTTAAGTTATTAAGCCTAACACAAATTTCAAATGAGGTTACAAATTGAAGAGTTTTCATGCTTACCTCTCCAAAGCCACCTTTCCCCAGAGTCCTAAACTCATAGAAGTATTTGTCACTGATGGGCTGTTTCTCGTACTCTTTCCACTGGAGGAATTTATCAAAGTAGGGGCTGGCCTGGTAGTCAGTAAAGGGTTTGTCTTTGAGATAACTTCGTACGCCTTCCTGGACCTTGGATTTCATCACCTCGTCAAAGTTGGCATCTGTCACTCCCTTGCATTTTTCAGCAGGCTCCCCGCTGAGAAAGGACAGGAAATTTTTGGAGTCAGCCTTGCAATAGTTTTTGATGATGTTTTGGCGGGCCTTGTCTTTTGCTGCACCTTCAGCCAGATCCCAATCATAGAGCTCATCCAGGAAATCAGCAGCCAGCTTGAAATCTTTGTTGTTTGCCAGGAAATCACGGAAAAACTTTTTGCCAATAGGCTGCCTTTCACAAAGTGATATAAAGTCCTTGTCGATGGAAGCTCGTACTGTAGCACATTGGTCAGGCTTTGGGAGAGACAAGCTTCGACGGCGCTTTTTCATCTCCTTGTCATCACCACCCTGGGCTTTTAGGTAGGCCGTATTGGCCACCAGGTTATCCAATCCCCCCATGTCACACATCTTGGCGGCTGTATGTGGTCTGTCCCCCCTAAATGACTGGGTTCTTCAGTGGCCCTCAACAGCGCAGTGTCCTTCAGAATGTATCAGTGTGAGACTGCAATTCCCTCCAAAGCCAGCCAGTAAATGAGCTCCTTCACCCAGCCTACCTGGAATCCGAAGACACACTGACACACCCAGTAATTACTCATTTAGAATTAAATACCAGGGAGGGATTTTGGCTTAAGGATCTTTGTGTGGTCTATTCGAGGATGCTGTGCACGGAAAGGGAATCGTAAGCGGGCTCTGTCCTAAGAGGCTTTGTAACTCTCTATATTTGCTCTTGCTGTTCAGTAGTCTACAAGTGTGGTTCTATTGGTTCTGTTGACCATGCATTTAATGGTGAGACACAGCAAGAGAAAATAAAAAAACAGCAGTAAATTCGCTTGAAAAAAAGGATACATTTGCAAAAACTATCTTAGTGTATTTGTGAGTCTTTTTATAAAGTTGGGGAAATCTGTATCAACATATGATTTCAGAGCATAAAGATGAAAGTTAAGTTGTAGCGTCATCGGAGTCTTGAGCAAAAGGCTATGTGAAATATTTTCAATGAAAGCTGGTAATATAGGCAACCATGATTCTGCAATATGGCAGAATATCTCCACATACTCATCTACTTCTCTTTCCTCCTCCTAGTCTCAAAGTAGCAGGAACTTTAGAGAGCTTACTCCTAATCTGTCTGCTTCGTTTTTGGCCTCTGCTCTTTCATAATTGACTCTCATCAGTGACCAACAAGTTAATACAATCAAATCTTTAAACTTTTCTGCTAAATTTAAAACATTTTTTTTAACATGTACATGCCTTGTTAAAGTTATAACTATGGATTGAACTGTGAGTAAATAATTAGTTGGATACAGAAGAGAAAGCCTACATAAAATTTGGCTTGATTATATAGTACAATTTCTTTAGTATTTCAATTATTTTTTTTAAATAAAACAGGTTACTTTGAGTTGTTTTCTAAAGGACATACTGTATGTAGAGCTATATAAACTAAATATGGGTAGGTGGAGATATTTGCTGCATATGAAATTAATTTTAAAAAAAAGAATGCATTCATTTCAAGTTGGGCTATGAAGAATGTTTTTCAAACTAATGTACTATATTCAAGCAGATGTGTATTTCAGTGTTACATAATCTGAGTAATGAGAAATATTTAGATATTATTCAATTAAAGAAAATGTCAAAAAGACTAATTGTAGGATCTGGGCTTGTGCAGTCGATCTTGTGCTCACAGCTTTGTCATAATTATTTTAAATGCATTAGAAAATCGTATTAATTATTTTTAAGATGTATTTTTTACTCTTAACACATATAATGTGTTATATGCTGTTTAACATTGAAGCTTACAAGAAGTTAGTAGTATATGCTAAACTGTTCTTTTAACCAATAAGCAATTGTATGAAAAATGTTTAATAATTACAAATATATATATAATAATAATAGGTTTGAATTGAAGATGTTATCTGGTATGATATTGAAAACCACAAGGAGATAATAGCCCATGTTCTTACAGAAGGAAGAATCACTCAGTAACAGTGGGGTGATGCTTGTTAAAATCAGGAGTCAAAGACTCAGAGGATCAGATCAATGTAGCACTCGAGCTTCTTTTCACCAGGTGGTTTATAAAAAGCCTGAAGCGTATGACCTCTATCATGTGACAGGACCGAGGTCACTCTGAGGTTACACTTGATACCTTACAATGAGTCTACACACAAGAAGAAAGCCACAAGGTTTTAGGTAGACACAGGTCATTCTTTAGATTTAGTTAAGAGGATATACGTGTTTCATTGTTTAACAGTAGTTGTACCCATGGTAAATTATGAATTACATTTTCTTATCTTTATTGCTTTTGCAGTGACCTTCAATACAGCTATGGTGATGTAGGCTAATTCAATATGACAAACCTCAGATAATATTAGTTAATCCTTTCTCAAATGGTCTCAAGCTCTCAGTGCCCCGCAAAAGATCAAGAGCTTTGCTTGCTCAGAGAGACTGACGCCTTCTAACTCATGAAGCCAGAGAATTAATCACACTGAGCCACCAGTGGTTGGATGCGTCCCAGAAGCATTAAAACAAGAGATTATGGTTTGATGAGTATTAAAAATATATTATTTTTAAGAAAGCTGCATGTCCCTGTTAAAACTATCTGCTGTAAATATCAAACGTCAGTCCTGTTGTAAATGGATCTTAGTGTCAGTAAGAAGTTAAGCCTCCTGAGTGGATGAAAAGAGACTACAGGTTTCATCTTTCAGTAGGTCAGGGAAGGCAGGGAGATGTAAGCTGAAAGCCAAGTGTATGGGTCTACTATGTGTTGCATTCCTGCTGAGATGGATAACTTTAATCAAATGCATTTTACAAACTGATACATATTTTGAAAATTTGTACATAAAAGCCTACCTCAAATGATGTCAAAACCCAGGATTTACCAGCAGAGTGGTGACAAAGGCGATCAAGTTATTGAGAAAAATAGCAAAGATCAGAGAGAGAGAGAGAGAGAGAGAGAGAGAGAGAGAGAGAGAGAGAAAGAGATACACCATATGATTGAAATTCCTACTTCTCTTCTCCACTTTGTTTAAGATGTTTGATATTTTCCTAAATAAGATATTTGCTCTTTGAGCGCCCTACTGCTTTACCCTTGGGAAGATTAGCCATGCCTAAAGAAGAAGGAAAGGTTAAGAAGAGCAGAGCGTTTTCATCCCATTCCCCACATGGTCTGCTTTGTGGTCTTTACATGGTCTGACTCCATCCTCTTATGGGCTCTCTCAAGCTCTCAAGAGGCACTGGTTGAAAATATTCCCAATGGAACAGTGAGGACTTTAGGGAGCACCGACAAATAAAAGCCAACTAAAACATAAAAACAAGCTTATTTGTTAGCTGCACAACTGCACTGTGTCCTAAGGGGTTTGTTCTTTCTTGGTCAGCATCGAAAGAAGTATAATTGGTATCTCAATGTTAAAGCAGGAAATGGGGAATAGAAATTACCATACTTATAAATAGGACAACATGATGGTTGCCTTCATGCAAAAAAGTTCTGGGTTCCAACATGCCAGCAGTCTTGGGCCTTTAAACATTTTCTAAACAGCACTGATTTTCTAAGGATTTAATTGCAAACCTATACAAGAAAGTTAAATTGGGGTCTATTATAGCTGGCAGGAGGTGTGAATGGTTGTTTATCAGGCCTGTAATTGACTTGTGATCATGTGTGTACCTTGCCTATCTTTCAATATCAACTCTCTGAGGATGAGGAGAAAACCTAATGGATACTAGAAACTACAACATGAAGTGATACAATAAATAGATTCATGCCAACACTGCACATTAACACTGAATACCTATCCCCCGCTGCATACGTACTGACTGTGGTTGGAGTTCAACACACTCACTTTGTGACCAAAAAAACTCAAGAGCTGAGATGGTCAAAGGCATATAAGGAACCTCTACATTGTTGCATCTAATTTAAGGTGAATGCTGCCAAAGTGCAAGAGCAAAGGCTAGCCCAGTCCACCAGGCTTCAGTGGACTTGGCAGCTTTTCAGTTATACGAGTAAGAGTAGCAGCCAAGTGAGGAGTTCTTGTGCGGATGAAAAGCTCCTCTGGTTGCTTATTTTAATTAAAAGGAATATTGGCTGTTGTTTGCACTTTTAGAGCAGAGCAGGTCAGGTGCTGCTCAACCTAGTGGCCTCACAGGGAGTCTGGTAGACTTTAACTCTCATTCTGTAGAGGGTTGATACACCCTGAGGGCTGTGATTGGAGCCCGGCTGGGGCATAGGCAGTATAGGCAAATGCAAGGGGCGCCAGCCTACATAGGGGGCGCCCATGGCGCCCCAAATGAGTGAGGCAGAAAAGTTGAAGATAAGAAGAAGAAATAGAAGGAAAAATGCGCTTAAATATCACTAAGTATTATTTATCTAATATAATTTTTTATTGAGTAATGATATAAAAGAAGCCATGAAAACACAACTATCACATATTTAAAAAGGCTCTATTTTCTTGTCTCCTGCTTGAGGCGGCTCATCACAACACAGCTGCTCGTTACCTGCTCGTTACCTGCTCGTTGTGGAGGAGCAGGGCAGGTGACTTATTAGAATTGAGTGACACTGACCATACGGATCAATATCACGTTTATAAATGACCGTAATGTAAAAAACAACAAAGCCCTCGGGAGCCCAGGGACGGAGAAGAAACGAGGAATAATGTGAAAAAGACACAGAGGTAACGTGCTGCACAGATCAATTATCTGTTGTAGTTACTATGTGTAGTTAAGATAGCTTGTTATGATCGATGATAGTAACGTCAGTGTTTCCTAATTCGAGTTAACATCAGTTATTTCCACTGTACTTTTATTAGGTTAAGATTATTCATGTTAAGAAAATAACCAGTTTAATTCAAATGTTTATTTTCCACCTCCTGTTGTCGTTAACTCTGGCCTTTTGTCTAAGAGCATGAATGCATGTTGTGCTAGAAGTCCTCACTGTATAGATAGTTGTGCATGCTGTAGGTCTGGTTGTTATGGAAACGTTTGGGTGCTGCTCTGAACAGAAAATAATATTTTGTGTTCACACTATATTATAAAATGCCCATTTTTCCACAAATGCTCCTCTTCTCTCTCCAGATGTAATTTTAAAACATTAAAATCCATCCCCTACTGTACCTGGGCTGTCTGTAACCACTTCTGCTCCCTGCACTGTTTGATATTGTTTGTTCTGTTACACTAGTTATTTGTATTTATTTTATTTTGTGTTTATTTATAAGAAATATTAGAGTTACTACCATTTTATTCATGTTTGTTTTTAAGTTTGTTTTTTTTTAAATAAAGAAATTATGTTACATATAAAGCTGTATGCCAGTTTTCTTTAAGTGTATGAATATTGTGATTCGTGGTTAAACTGGCTGCACTTTAAGGGGCAACTGCTGAAATTTTGCCTAGGGCACCAAAATGATTAGGGCCGGCTCTGATTGGAGCGT